CATATTGATTTTCCAAAATTAAAGATGTATTTCAAATGCTTCTTGCTGTGTGATGGACTTATATCTCCTTTTGCAAGGTCTGGGACTATTTTTTTTTTAAGGTATGAAATCAATTTCAATAACCTTAAACAATTGACTCTCTGTCAGGCAAATGTATACTGCTTAAACCATTAAGGAGTCAGGGAACATGACATGTTGGCACATCCTGGAAAAATAACACCATCAAACTACAATTTGTGATGTTAAAGGATGACTTTTAAAAGAGGATACAATCATTACTCTCCTAAAGAAATAATATCTTTATGTGCCCGAGGTTTTACTTAACTCATTGACTAATGAGGGAACTGGTAAGATTGCAGCTGATTCCAAGGAGAAGGCAAGGAGCAAAGACGTATATAGGAAATAAGGAGTTCTGAAATGAATTTACAAACAGACACAAAATGGATGATCCACTGGGCAATAATCCATAAGCAGTTTACCCTATCCCCACCCAATTAGTTTGCATTTATATGGATAAGGATCATGTGCATTACTGTCAGTTTTCTAAGACTTAGAGTTGTAAAATAACTCAGAGACAATGAATGGTGCTGAGAGCCTGGATAAATGAGCTGGATGGGACACCTACTATTCAGTCTTCGACAGGTTTTCCTGACAACAGGACAAACTTCATCCACAGGAGAATTCTAAGGAATTTTCAAACTTTGGCAACTAGTATTATAGGAATGATGTGCATTTAAAGCAATTTTTTTTAAAGTTTTGAAAACGAGTTTTGTATAATTGTACACAATACATTTCAGAGAAGGTGTGTGTGCGTGTGGCATAAAAGATATGAAAGATAAATCAGCTCTAACAAAAACCAACCTAACAACCTCACCACCCGCCCTGTTGATGAGAAAGCTGCCGTGTGTTGAAATTCAATTTTTATCTAGCTATTAAAGTTAAATTTCAAAAGTGCATCAGGAAATAAAACTTCATCGAGGCCAGATCATTAAGCGCTGTTTTAGCCACTACTGAAATCATCGGGGCTTGGCTCTAGTTCTGGAGAAACAACAAAAGGATTAAGCGGCATAAACTGATCACATTTCTAAGAAAATGACTCAAATTCCCATCAATCAATTCTTTCCTGTTTGGTCTTAACTCCGCCTAGACTACCCGGCCTGTTTGTGTAGACACAGTGATCCCACTAGATGTTGCTGTGTCTCTCTCCCAGCCCCTCCCCGTTCTCGGCAGCCGCTCCACTCCAAGGACTGTTGACGCTCTTACCCAGGGTCCTAAGGCACAGGGTTCAGTGTATTTGATTGAACCATATGAAATGGCCAATATTTAACCATCCTTGACGGCAATTTCATGGGGCTCAACCCAATTACCTGCATATTTTCCCAGTTTATATGAAACAAAATATTTTTCTTGTTATAATTGTTAATAAATTCCTGCTTAGAACTGGTATCTAAATATGAATTTGACTGTAAGTTAATTTTAAAAGCAAGACAGAATCGCTAGTCAGAAAGCAATAGTCGAGTTACAAAAAATACCTTAGCTAATATTATCTAAGTAGGTAATATTATGCCTTTAAAATCATGTTCTGTCTGTAAGGAAAAGGAAAATGGATTAGACTAGCTCCATGTTTTAAAAGATTAAGGTTCGTTTCTATGAGACTTCCTGGAGAAGAAATACTAATCACCATTACACTTTGGGGATTGCAACCTTTCCCTCATCTGTCTGTTACAGAACAGCCTTACAAACCTCAGGCGGGAGGATAGCTTATTTAAATTATGTGATTGCGTGTGTTGACATTTTCCTGAAAAGCCCATTTTGTACTACCCAGAATGGCTGTGAATTCCATGTAATACAATTTGCGGTCTACTCTTGAAACAGAAGAGGGCGCTCGCAGGTAAGCTGCTGCTACCCAGAGTTAGAAACAGCAGCATTTGATTTGATGGTGCTTGTATTATGATTAATAAAAGATCTTGGGGGCATTTTGCAAAGCATTTCAAAGCATTGTGAGTCCAGTGGAGTATAATTAAAATTAATGCAGTAGATAAACACTTTAAAGTATTCTTAATGCCTTGTCTAAAAATGCTGTTGAATACAATTTTACACATCCCAAAGATTTAAACGCCATTCTTATCTCTAAACATTTCTATGTACTAAAGAGACAGAAAAATAGTGCCTTCCTTCTCAGCAGATTTCAAACAAACTTTTTCTAAAAAGAGTTAATAAACTCTAAATCTGCTTACTTTAAAAGATTTATAAAATATTGGAATGAATCTATCCTTTTTGGCTTCTGAGCTTTGAGTTGCATCTAACAAAGTCCATGTGGTCTCTAAAAAGCTCCAGCCCAGGATTGTGCTCTCAGGTTCTTAGGTAAGAACAAGCCAATATATGCTTTCAGAGAATATTCTATGCCACCTTGACTCAGGGACAAGCCTTCACCCTATTTAGTCCTCAGAAATCAGTAATGAGTATTGCCTTCTCAAAATGGGTGCTTATCTTTCTCTCAGGAATCTTTCTGGGCTGATGTTGTCATTCTCTTTTTTTTTGAGGAAGATTAGCCCTGAGCTAACATCTGCCACCAATCCTCTTTTTGCTGAGGAAGACTGGCCCTGAGCTAACATCCGTGCCCATCTTCACATCCATGCCCATCTTCCTCTACTTTATGTGTGGGACACCTACCACAGCATGGCATGCCAAGCAGTGCCATGTCCGCACCTGGGATCCGAACCGGCAAATCCTGGGCTGCTGAAGCGGAAGGTGCGCGCTTAACTGCTGCACCACTGGGCCGGCCCCTGCTATTGTCATTCTCTTATAAAGCCTATTAGAACAATATGTTTCCAAAAATCTTACAGCGTGAGTAAGTCTATGAATGTGGCTAAACACGTGAGGGATTCCCAAAGGTGTCTTCCACACTCTGAAGTACAGAAGGCTTGCTTAAGACATTGACTGCCTTAAATGGTCACTTTGAATCACCTCAAAATGCTATGTGACTGTTGTTCCAATTGTCTTGCTGATTCTACTGTTTATTGTGTGCCTACTATGTGCCTGCATTTTTCTAGGCACTGGGAATAAGCAATCACAAAACAGTAAATTCTTGTTCTTCTAGAGAATATATAATAGTGGGAGAAGTCAGACAATAAACAGATATCAAGTTGTGATCATTGTTATGCAGGAAAAAAGCAACAGAGTGGCAGAAGAATGCTATTTTAGATAGGTTCGTCGGGGAAGTCCTCTCTGATGAGATGATGCTGTAGTAGAGACTGGAAAGAAATAAGGAAGCAAGCCACCAAGATCTCGGAGAGAAGAGTGTGTCCAGCAGAGGGAACTGAAAAGAGGGAACTGCAAAGGCGCTGAAATCAGAGTGTGCTTAGCCTATTGGAGGCACACCAGGGCAGATGGCTACTGGGTGGCAGAGCAGAGTGAATGAGGAGGACATCTTGGGGGGAGATCAGAGAGGCTGTGGCGAGCTGAGGGAAGCAGGTCACGTGGAGCTCCTTAGGCTATGGGAAGGACTTTGGATTTTATTCCAAGTAAGATGGAGCCACTAGAAGGTTTTGTGTGGAGGAGTGACATGAACTGAATTAAGATGATTCTATGGACACAGAAGGGGAGCAATGATAGAGCAGTCAGGAGGCTACTGCAATAACCTAAGTGACGGGTGGTGGTGACTAGGACTGGTGATAGGAAGTGAAAAATGGTTGGACTCAGAACCTGCTTGAAATACAGAGCTAGTAGTGTGTGCTGAGGGATTGGACTGTATTCCTGATATAAGAGAACAAAAGGAACCAAAAATGACTTCCAGATTTTTGGCCTGAGCAACTGAAAAATGGAGCTATTTTTTATAGAGAAGAGGAAGACTGTTGTAGGAGAAAGTCTGAGGAGAAAGATAAAGAATTCGGGTTTGGAGGTATTAACTTTGAGATGCCTATTAGACATCCAAGTGGAGACAGTAAGTAGCAATTGGACACACAAGGCAGGAAAGAGGCCTGGGCTAGAGATGTGCCTTTGAGAGATGTCAGTACTTAGAGCTGTGAGACTGGATGACATCACCTAGGAGTGAATATAAAGAGTAGACATGTTCTGAGAACTGAGCCTTTGCAATCCAGTTTAAAGGTCGAGAAAATGAGGATGATCCAGTAAAGGAAACTGAGGAAGAGTAGCTAGCTAGAGTAAGTATAATCTATCAGCTCCCTCACATGCTGCTACAGGATAAGACGAGGACTAAGAATGGAGCATTAGCAACATGGAAATCATCAGTGACCTCGACAGATAACTCAAGTGAGTGTGGAGACTGTGAGTAGATGGTTTTTTGAGGAGTTTTGCTGTATATATGAACATTGGGATGGTAGCTGGTGAAGATAAGATCTTTTTAAACACCTTTACCCGCATTAAGACTGATGTCTTGGGGCTGGCCCACAACCGTTTGTGGCCGAGTGGTTAAGTTCGCATGCTCCGCTTCGGCGGCCCAGGGTTTCGCTGGTTCAGATCCTGAGCGCGGACATGGCACAGCTCATAAGACTGAAGTCATGGTGTTGGTCTTTACTGGTGTCTCTTCTTCACTATTTTTTTTTTTATTTTACTGACGTTGACTCTTGCTAAAATCTTCCTTCTCCTCCTCATTGTCAACATTTATAGAAAATGATTCCTATTTATAATTTATAGGATTTATAGAATATAATTTATAGAATAATTTATAGAATTTAATTTATAATTTATAGAATAGTTTATATAATTTAATTTATACAAAATCATAGGTGTTTTGGATGTGCCAGCTTGTACTTCTTCAGAATTTTCATTAACCATATGTGTGGTGTTGAAGACATTACACATTTCAAAATAACTTCAGCTATTGCTTCAATCATCTCTTGTTTTGCTTTTAAATGTTTTTTTGGTTGAGCTCCAATGGTCAATGTCATTTCCTGTTGGTGGAGATCTCACTTTAGATTTTGTTATGTAATTCAGAATAATTATGAACTGGTTGCTGGTCTCACAATCTTGCGAACACCTGCAAATTCCTCCAAGTTCCTGCAGGATAAAAAAACACAACTATTTATTCAATAGTTTTTATATTTACCTAACAGTTTGTACTTTGTTTCTTTGTTCCAGTCTGGTGTAATAACATTCTCTGTAAATAGTTGTCCAGAAACTAATAAGTAAATCCTAATGAAATAAAAATGTCTGCAAAAGGTACAATTTAAGCAACTACTAATGTAATGTTGTATTTTCTTGATTCCTTTGTTAGTTTTAAAACAATTAATGATTACAATAGAAGAATAAACTTCAATTTTAAAGATGTTATTACTCAACCACAATAAATATTTCATGTGTAAAGTAACCAAATAAAACTTACTGAGCAAAAATATTCCATCTTGCCATCCACATTCTGTTGCACTCTTTTAAATTTAAAGATAAAAATAGGAACTCCAAATAGTCACATAGAAAGACAGAATTGAAGTAACTCAAGTTCTATTTCTTTATCTTTATGATCATTGTTTATTTTGAATCTATAGTTTAAACCCTGGAATATGTGGTACCAAAGGGGATGGAGATAAGAACGGTCTTGAAACAAGTTTGAAGGATCCTGGACCATTACGAATTCCCCAAATGAATATGTATTCTAAGTCCACATGTGTCTTGGGTCCAACTGTATAACTGGGAGTTTTCAAAATTAACTTCTACATACAATACAATGTTTATTAAATGCTAAGAAATTAAAACGTGCTGATTTGAAGCTTACATATGTTTTATTAAAACTCAACCGTAATTGCAACAATTGTTCAGGACACTATGTCAATAAAACAGTTAGGGAGGTATTTTGTCTCAGGCATTGCTTAGAATTGCCAGCACATGCTGATAATAGAAAGTAGACTGACTTTTAGTTGGTTTCATTACTGTATTTAAATTCTCTACAGACAGTGCATGTCATTATTGCCTGCACCCAGGACTGACTGCCCCCTTCCTGATCCCTGACATACCACTGCATGGTGGCTATCTCTGCATGTTGGCAGTGATCTCATAGCGAAAGGAAAACTGACAATGCAGAAGACAGAGAGGGAAAATTGCTAGGGCCATAGTTCTGAGTGGATAGGAGGGGATGGGATCTGAGGTGCTAGCAGAGGGGCTGATTTAGATACTTGTGTGAACAGTTCACCCATTACAATAGGAGGGAAGGCAGAGTTTATGGGCATAGAGGCAGCCAGGCCTATATATCCAAGGTATTGTTTCTTAGTTTCTTTCCCAGAAATGAAATTGGGTTCATAGACTTTTCACCCTCCCACAGAGGCTGAGTGTCTATGGATTGCCATGAAGGACCCTTTATGACTGACTTTAATTTTATTTTCTTGAATACTTTGGTTGTGTCTTTCAATTTATATGCTCTTTACTGATATCAATGCTTGAACATCAAGTGTACTGATCCTAATGGGGACATTCTTGTGATTTTGTAACTGAGATTATTAATCTCCTCTAACAGAGAATAAATGTTCTGATTTGGGAAGCCCAGTTGTGAACGCTGTAGAATTTAGTCTCTTTTTCTGCTTCTCCTCTCCAAGAGAGATGCTGCAGATCTGTGAGTGGCTGTGTGGGGGTGGCAGATGGCGCCCAGTTGCAGTGCTTGTCATAGGGTTTTATTTTGATATTTTCACACTGCTCAGAGAGAGTTCCACCCAAAGGTCCTCAAGTGCCATGAAAAGGACAAGGAAAGAGCATCTTTGAACAGTAGCATTGTTAAATGCCAAGAGCCTGCCTCTCCAGTGGGTAATTTTGAGACATTCTGAAACACTTTTCAAAGGCTTTGCTAAGTACTCATTGTGGAAAAGGACAAATTCTATATTAAACTCACACTGGGACCAGAAGTGGCCTTGGGTAAAATTGTGCTGTAGCTGATGTTTTTCTTCCTCTTTTTATTGCCTTTTTCCCATCAGTGGATGCTCTGCCTCCTTCCTCCTAAACCTCCTCAAGTCTCGTGGAGTCTTCCCCCTCTCTTCCTCTTTGCCTTATATGATTGAGTGCCAAGAAAGGATATACATCAGTAACTTAGATCTTGTTGCTCTTCCCCGGGGACATTGCTTCTGCTGCAGGCTTTTCAAACAGAGCTGTTCATTCTTCCTCACCCCACAGACTTCTGCTTCTCTGCTTCCAGGGTGGCCGTCCTCCAGTCCATGCTCCACCCTGCGGTCAGCAGAAAACACACGATCTGGCACTTACTTACCAGCCAGCCTTAGCTTTGCCACAACTTGCCTTGTTCTCTATCCTCTGGGCAACCGAACTGCCCTCATTTCCTCAAACCCGCTGTGTTCTCTCTCATGCCCCAAGCTTTGGCTTGTACAGTGCCTTCTCCCTGGAACACTCTTCCTTGTCCCCTTCCTTTGTCCCTTATTTGTTCCACAGATCTAAGTTAAGGGGTCTCATCCCAGGAAGCCTTCCTTGACTCTCCCCATTCAGGTTAGGTGCTCCTCATGAGTAATTTTTAGTACTAATCCCATTATATTGTAATTGCTTGTGTGTTTTTCTCCCCCCCCCCCACCCCGACTTGGGATTTTGATTGGGGTGGCTCTGCCCACAGTGATTTCCCATTTTCTGCGAAGAGGCTCACATACAGGGGTGGTGGTAGGTGATGGCAGTATCAATGTTACAGTGCTGATCCCTTAGCCAGAGCTGATGACTTATGTGTTGAATAAAAAACACTGAATGAATGAATGAATGAATGATACGGTAGGTTAAATTTAGATCAATGCACTACTTCTTCTAAGGATAGTCACATTTTAGTCCCGAATATTTTCCCCACAAATAGGCTAGAAATTCCATTTTTTAGCAGTTTAACAACAAATTCAAATCAATAACATTTAATGAATGCTTTCCATATTGGAGGTACTATGCTAGGAACTCAGGGGGCATATAAAGATGAATAATACACACCTCAGTCCTCAAGAAATTTAAAATCTGTTTCACTTATCATTACAAATAAACTTTTTCTTAATAAACACACATATATATTTCCAAGGGGTTGAAAAGATTAAAACGTTTGTTTTTAAATTGGATTTAATCTTGTTTTTGAAAGTTGCTGGAAGTGAAGAGGAAGCACTATTAGCCTTTTAGCACCTGCTATGAGCCAGGAGTCGTGTTTTCTCATTTAATACCCAACATCCAATAAAGTAAGAGTTATTTCTGGTTATCAAATGAGAGTATCTGTCTTTTGTTAAAAGTATTTTGGAACCATTCTGTAGCTGCAGAAGGGTTTTTCCTGTATGTGAAACAATACCAGATGCTTAATTTCCTTGACCTGTCCACCTTAGGATAAAATGTAACCCCAAATTAAAATGGGGAGTTATTATTTAAGGGTACAGAGTTTCAGTTTTGCAAGATGGAAAGAGTTTGGTGATGGATGGTAATGGTAGTGATGGTTGCACAACAATGTGAATGTACTCAATGTCACTGAACTCTACACTTAAAAATGATTAAATGGCAAATTTTATGTTATGTGTATTTTTACGACATTTAAAAAAAAATTAGGTCCACCCTAAAGAAGAGAGCCCCCCGGTACCTTTTAACAGCTTTGTTGAGGATTAATTTATATATCATAAAATCCACCTGTTTTAAATGTAAAATTCAATAGTTTTTAGTACAGTTACGTGTCACTTAACGACGGAATAAATTCTGAGAAAGTTGTCGTTAGGTGATTTTGTCGTTGTGTGAACATCATAGAGTGTACTTACACAAATCTAGATGGTATAGCCTACTACACACCTAGGCTATATGGTACTAATCTCATGGGACCACCATCAAATATGTGGTCCATTGGTGACCAAAATTTTATTACGTGTCACATGACTGTGTATTTACAGAATTGTACAACTGTCACCACAGTCAACTTTAGAACATTTCCATCTCCCCCAAAAGATCCTTCAAGCCCATTTTCAGTTGCTCCTTGTTCTCATCCCAGCCCTGTGCAGCCATTAATCTAATTTCTGTCTCTATATATTTACTTTTTCTGGACAATTCATATAAATGGAATTATACAATACAGGCTTTTTGTCTCTGGCTTCTTTCACTTAGTACAAGGTTTTTGAGGTTCATTCGTGTTGTTCATTCATGTTCATCTAGGTTCATCCATGTATCAGTATTTCATTCCTTTTTATTGTCAAATTGTATGCCATTGTAGGGCTAGCCCATGTTTTATTTACGCATTCAACAGTTGATGGACATTTGGGTTTTCCCCACCTTTTCACTGTTATCAACAGCACTGCTGTGAACATCCATGTACAAGTATTTTTGTGGACATATGCTTTTATTTCTCTTAGGTATGAGTGAAATTGCTGGGTCATACAGTAAATTTATATTTAACTTTTCAAGAACCTGCCAGACTGTTTTCCAAGGTAGCCGCACCATTTTACACTTTCTTCACATCCTTGCCAACACTGGTTTGTGCATGTCTTTTTGTTTTCTGTGTGTTCCTGCTGTTCTTTATTTCTCTTTCCTTTTTCCTTCCTTCCTGTTGATTACCTGTATATATTTTAGAATTCCATTTTGATTTATCTATATTATTTTCAGAGTATTTCTTTGTGTAGTCTTTTTTAGGGATTGCTCTAGGTATTACACTACACCTACATAACTTATCATAGTCAACATTTTTATCATTCCCAGTGAAGTGAAGAAGTTGTTTCTTCCTTTACCCTCCCCCAATGATAATAGGATTTGAGAACCGTATGAGGCAATGCTACAATTTTGCTTCAACTGTCAAACACACTAGAAAACTCAAGAAAAGGAAAGTCTATTGTATTCACCCATATTTTTACTTTTCATTCTTCTTGATAGTCCTCCTTTTATAATTTTATTTATATTTTAAGAACTTCCTTTAGCCATTCTTTTAGGGTAGTTTTGCTGGTGATAAATAACCTTAGTTTTCTTTCATTTGAGAATGTTTTGATTTTCCCTTTTTTCCTGAGGGATATTTTCACTGAGTATGGGATTCTGAGTTGACTGTTCTCTTCTTTCAGGCTGCTTCCTCCTGGCCTCCATGGTTTCTG